ACTAAAAAGTGTTGTCAAGGACCTGGAAGGGTTAACTGTAAAAGAAAAAGAATGCCAAGGGGAAAAGAACTGTTGGAAGGGAAGGCTCTGGTAGAAAAGGTATAACCACAGGAGCAGGGGCAATTGGTTATTGGTGAGAAGAAGTGAAGAGTGACAGAAAGAAAGCTGAGGAGGAGTGAGTAGAAATGATGAGAAAAGATCCTTAGACTGGAGAAGTAGGTACAGTAGTGCCTCGCTTAGCGAGCGCTATGTTTAGCAATGAAATCGCTTTGCGACGCATTTTTTGCGATTGCAAAAGCGATCGCTTTGTGATGTTCCCTATGGGGGAATTTCCCTTTGCGATGATCGATTCCTTGCTTCGGGAACTGAGCATCGCAAAGCGACGATTTTTTAACAGCTCATCGGTGGTTTCAAAATGGCCGCCTGCTGTTTTCTGGGACGGATTCTCGGGTTTTAATGCGTGGGCTTGGCTTTTTAAATTTCGCATTGCGACGTTTTCGTTCAACAGCGAGTTTTGCGGAACGAATTAATGTCGCAATGCGAGGCACCACTGTACAACTAAAGGTACCAAGGGAAGTAACAGGAGTGGTCGCAATGCGAGGCACCACTGTACAACTAAAGGTACCAAGGGAAGTGGCTGAACAGGAGTGGAGAGGCCACCTAGTACAGAAACCCCCTTACTGGGGAGAGACAATTGAGCAAAAAGAAGGAGATAGAGTGCAGGGGAACTAGAGGCAAGAAATAGGAAGAATGAGGCATGGCCCACTTACCATGAGATCAGTCCTGGGATGAGAGTCTTCCTGCCAGATATGTGATGAATTCCAGGTTGGAAGATTTAGGAAGCAAAATGAGGGTTGAGTGTTTTACCTTTAAGCCAGAGAGGATACGAAGCAGGGTTGGTTAACCCGTTCACCTCAGGTACTTGGTTAGCTATGGAAGGATTGTTTACCCCTTTGGCCTGGGGATGTTGAAGATACAAGAATAAAGGGAATATAACTGGGAGAAGAGCTCTCAGAGGTTGGAACTGTTACAGCAGAGTTAAATCTGTTTTCCCCAGTGTTAAATAAAATGGTTGAACTAAAGCTGAAGTCTGGTCTAGTGCCTCTGGGAAGAAGGGTGGTCTTGGGGAGGATGCAGGCAGAAGAAGCCTGATAGCTTGCAACAGCTCTACATCTCCTTTCCACCTACTGCAGGAGATGCCGTCCTGTCCCTTCAGCGTTGCCTGGGGGCTGTACTGCAATGGATGCAGGAAAATGGGCTGAGGCTGAACCCAAACAAGACGGAGGTTCTGGGTCGGTGGCTTGGGTGGCTCTCATTTGGGGGGGTCACCCTTGCCGCAAAGAGTGGGGTCCGCAGCCTGGGATCCATCTGGACCTGGCGCTCCACATGGAAACTCAGGTTGCGTTGGTGGTCCGTTCCGCCTTTTTCCATCTTTGGCGGATAGCCCGGCTGCGACCCTATCTCGATACGGGGTGCTCACTACTTTGGTTCATGCGCTCGTAATCTCCAGATTAGACCACTGCAATGCACTCTATGTGGGGCTACCTTTGAGGTTGACGCGGAAACTTTAAGTGGTGCAGAATGCGTGGCCAGACTCCTTACTGGAGTGAGAAAATTACATCATATTTCTCCTATTCTGGCCAAGCTGCACTGGCTGCCCATCCGTTTCCGCGCTTGTTTTGATGCTTACATACAAAGCCCTGAATGGTTTAGGACCTTGATACTTGGCGGAACGCCTACTCCCACCAAGTTCTACCCATGTCATTCGTGTGAGTCAGGAGGTGTGGCTGAGGAGCCTGACACCGAGGGAGGCCCGGAAGGAAAAAACAAGAAACCGGGCCTTCTTGGCGGTGGCTCCTCGCCTCTGGAACAACCTACCTCTAGAGATTTACATGGCCCCCTCGCTGGGTATCTTTAAAAATCAGCTAAAAACGTGGATGTTTTGGCAGGTCTTCCCTCCAGTTAATCCCTAATGTTTTCCTTTCCTCTCTTCTCTTATTGTTCGCCTTCCATCTTGTCGAATTTGTTTATTACGTAATAATTATTTTTGTATTTATCTGTGTATTTTATATTGTAAGCCGCCTAGAGTGGTCGTAATTGACCAGATAGGCGGGATATTAGATAGATAGATAGATAGATAGATAGATAGATAGATAGATAGATAGATAGACAGACAGACAGACAGACAGACAGACAGACAGACAGACAGACAGACAGACAGACAGACAGACAGACAGACAGACAGACAGACAGACAGACAGACAGACAGACAGACAGACAGACAGACAGACAGACAGACAGACAGACAGACAGACAGACAGACAGACAGACAGACAGACAGACAGACAGACAGACAGACAGACAGACAGACAGACAGACAGACAGACAGACAGACAGACAGACAGACAGACAGACAGACAGACAGACAGACAGACAGACAGACAGACAGACAGATAGATAAAGATAATGCTTATGGAGATTTCTTAACTCACAAAAAACTTAGGTCAAAAGAAGGGCAGGAAAAGGTTTTTTTTTCTTTTGGTTCTTAAGTCGAGGCTCCGTTCTCAGGTCGAAGCAACTTTTTGTGAACGGAGTCGTTCTTAACTCGAATTGTTCGTATGTAGGGACGTTCTCAAGTCGATGTACCACTGTATCTAATGCTACATTTATTTTTATACAAGCTATTATGTTAATGTGCAAATAAAACTACAGTTCTCTGGCAGTGATTTACAGTGGGGTCTTGACTTAAGAACGGCTCGAGTTAAGAACATTTTGACTTAAGAACCTCTCTCATAGGAAAATATTGACTTGACTTACATACTTAGATTTGAGTTAAGAACTGAAAAAAAACCACGTGGGAGGCAGGGAAAGTGCAAAATTTGAACTTTCAGTTAACTGTTGGCCAGTGAAAAGGGTGCCTGTCTGCTTCCTCACTCCTCCCAGCGTTTAGAGAGTGGATTGGGAGTCTTCAGACTGCCTGGTACTGCCTGGACTGTATTTTCCCTGCCTTCCCTGAATCTTTCTTGACCTAAGAAAAAAAGAAACAAAATATCCCCCTCTAGTAGTTGAAGGCGGAATAGCAGCTTCCCATTAGTTTCTATGGACGGAAAAGAGCAGATACGGATCAAATGGTTTTCAATGCATTCCTATGGGAAATGCAGATTTGACCTGAGAACTTTTTGACTTGAGAACCGCCTTCCAATACGGATTAAGTTCTCAAGTCAAGACCCCACTGTAATTGCTTCCCTCAAAAAATTGGGACAAAAGTGATCTTTCCCATTGCAGCTCTTATGCAATTCAAAAACTTATTCCCAAAATCTTGAAATCCCTCTGGATTAGGTTGCAGAGCTGCACTAAATGCTGTAGCAGGAAAAGGAAGCTAGTTATGTTGTACTGAAACTGAAGTTAGACATTTGCTTACAAAATTTAAAATTGCACAGTTCCATCATCATAAAATGACAGTTGTCCCAACAAAGGCTGGTGTGTTTCTTTTGGTTTTTTTTTTTTTTAATTTTTCAGTTGGGAAAACTATTATTTTCCTAACTATAAATATTTCCATTTGTGGTTATTTAGCAGGGTGCTGAAGAAGCGGAAACATCAGGAACTCTTGCTTAGCTTGCATTCTTATTTCTAAAATTTCTCCCACCATTCGTTTCTTTTTCTTTTCCAGTACTGTACAGTGGTGCCTCGCACAGCAATCGCTCCATTTAACGAAGAAACCGCTTAGCGATGCTGTTTTTGCGATCGCAAAAACGATTGCTTTGTGATGTTCGCTATGGGGAAAATTCGCTTTGCGATGATCGCAGGGAAGCGATCATCGCAAAGCCACCATTTTCGTTCGGCCAGCTGATCGGCGGTTCCAAAATGGCCACTGGGTAAACAAAATGGCTGCCCGCTGTGTTTAGGGATGGATTCCTCGCTTAAGAGGCAGTGAAAATGGCCGCCGTATGGAGGATCTTCGCTTAAAGGTTAGTTTTTAGCCCATAGGAACGCATAAATGGCGTTTTAATGCGTTTCTATGGGCTTTTTAATTCCGTTTAGCGATGAAATCGCTTAGCAACGTTTTTTCCTGCATGGATTAACGTCGCTAAGCGAGGTACCACTGTACTTTGAATTTTTGTGTTTAATATATTTAAAATGTTCTGTGCTTCATCCTTGTTATCCCAGTGTAATTTGCAATTTAGCAATTGATGTAATTATCTGTTTGCATTGCTCTGTGATAAATTTGATTTTAAAACTGGGAACTGCTTGTAAAATTGGATCTGTGTAGCAGATAAATAAAATATGATGTTTAATTTTTTATTATAATAGATTCCTTATGAGAAGTGACCTAGATCTGTCATTTTTTATAACATGGGCACTTTACAGACCTTAATTAATTAGGGTACTACAGTGTCTCTGGATGGTTTTTAGCAAAGTTTTGCTGTCCTGTCATATTAATTCAGCTTTCCTAAGAATGAATGAATACTTTATTATGGTCAAAGACCAGTAAAACCAAATCAATATAAAATAGATACATATAATTATAGTTTGGTAAAGTCAGTCAGGGTAATAAAATTCCATTAAAACATGATAAAACAATCCCCTCTTTCCAGTTAATAACATCATGTATCCTTAATATAAGTAAAACCTCAGACATAGTTATATTAAAAACATACCCTTCTGAAATCACCTACCCAAACATTTGATTACGAATAACTATTGCCGCCGCACAGAATTTGGCCACTTGTCTCGTAATATAAGGGGTATTGTCAGAGAGTAGCAGATGGACATAATCCTCCTCTGATCCTAAGAGTAAAATTGAATATGGAAATAATATGGATGATATAGTAAAGTGATTATTTTTGTGATTAACACTACATACTTACATTAAATTCAAAGCAATAGGATTGTTATGCCTTTAACCTAAATATGGAGGCACCAGCATGAAATCTAATGTTTTATCCAGTCTGACTGAAGTCCTATAAATATATTTTTAAATTATATATTTTTCTTTACAGGAAACACTCCTTTACATCTTGCTGTGATGCTGGGGAATAAAGGTTAGTACTGCTGATCTTTCATTTGCCTTTTTAAAAAATACCTTTTTACATCATAGAAGGTTGGCAGCTTGAATCCCAGATTTATCTCTTCTTGGCTCATCTTGCAGCTCTTTGAAGACAACTACAGAGCAGGAGGATACTTAATCTTATTCTTTACTTTTTGTCCACTTTGCAAATCAGGAATGGCTGTGGGTAATGAGGGAAGAGTGATTGATGAACAGTGCAAATCATAAGACATCAGTATTTCCCTCCTCGTATCTTTTCCTCCCTGACCACTGATTGTTTCCTGATATGTTTGGGTAGGAGAAGAATAGTGGCCCATGCCTGATGCAGTCAGCATCCCTTCACATTGGCCTGATGATGTGAACTGTGTCAGGACAACAAAGGGAGACATATTTTTAAAAACCTTCCTCTACTTTTGTACCATTTATTGTCAGCGTTTCTGTCTCTTTTGCAGATCAGTTATAAGCCCTTTTAAACTCACGTTCAATATTTTAGCCTTTATTTCACCATCTTAAAGATATTTCTTTCCACAGAATAAGGGATCTTGGTGGTTTATTTTCCTTATCAAACAAAATCAGTACATGCACTTTAAAAAAATCTTTTTTTAAATATAGCCATCCAGGTGGCAAATTAAATCATGACCTTTTTTTATTTGAAAGTGTACTCCAGAGAGTTAAATCAGAGGGTTAGTGGCACTCTGATTTAAAATGTGCATGTTAATGGTGCTATAATAAAGTACATTATCATTTTAAATTAGATTGTGGAACTAAATTCTGGATTTGATTTAAAATTTACCTCTTGAGGACTAGTACTATGCATTGTTCTTTTTCCTCTTACAATATTTTAGACATCTAACTTCTGAGAGCCTCTGAATGTCCAGATAAACTGAAGAAAATGATAGCCTGTATCCTGTAGTGCAGGGGTCCCCAACCCCCAGTCTATGACCCAGCACTGGTCTATGGCCTAGGCAGGAGGGGCCCTCAGACACAGCTCTCCTGACCCCCCCGAGAGCAAGCACATGCGCTGAGTGCCCCCCCAACCGGTCCGCAATTGGAAAAAGGTTGGGGACCATTGCTGTAGCGGATAAGTCTTTTAACATCAAATTCTGGGTTAATTTAGGATTAAATCCTGTTTTAATTTGGGGTTGACAATAGCGGAGTGATAAACAGGGCTTGAAAGATGCACTCGTCCAGTTGCCTGTGATAAGTGAAGAATGCTGCTGGACAAGTCACAGCTCCCTACCTGCCTGCCTCCTTCCCCCCCCCTCTCTCTCTCTCTCTCTCTCTCTCTCTCTCTCTCTCTCTCTAATCCTATAGTTCTCCCCTTCCCCTCCCATTGCAAAAGGAAAACTGCCCTCTTCTCGCGAGAAGAGAGTTCAGGTGGCACATACAGATATAACTCTGCAGGAGAATGTAGAGTAGTCCCATGCTGGAGAATATGGAGATTCCCTACTCCCAATTTCAACCGAACGAGGACACATCCTGGGGTGGGAGGGAACTGTGGCTCCTTAAGAGGCCAGGCGCTTTTGCTTTCAGTTTTAATTTTTTCTGGAGTCATTCAAAAGAAAGGCATTCAAAATATAAGCTTCATGACCCCACAGGCATGCAGGCAATAAAGCAACTCAAGTCTGAGGGTATAAATCAGTGGGTCTCAATCCTAATAAATTGGAAGGCTATAGTCTGGTCATTCTGACTGGTGAAATTTTTGACTGACTGGTGAGACATTCTAAAATTTTTCAAGCCCTGGTGATAAAGTTTGTTTGCTCAGAATTGTCTAGGTAAATACACCAATCTGGTGTTGTATAGTTCGACAGATTGTCATAGTATTCAATGTTGTAGAGTCATTGGATTCCTGAAGCCAACCCACTGTGATAAAACCAGTTACCTAGCAAGCATTGCACCCTTGCAATGCTTTTAACCCTTTTAACCCCTTCACGTTCAATGTTTTTTACCCTCTAGCGGTGATTTTAAGCAAAGTAAGCAAAATGTTCTGCTTATGCACTGCCCTATAGTGCCTAAAGTATTCTCTGGACTCCAGGAGGCAATGTGTGAACCACACCGAAGCTGACTAGGGGTTTTGTGAACTACACTGTAATTGATTTAGGAAACGCAGAAATGGCTCTGCTGTCCTTCATTTGGACACTTTTCTCTGAAGCCAATGCACATCCTTAGCTACAATTTGAACTTGAGATCGTTAAACAATAATTATATCTTTCCTTAGAGCTTATTTCCTGACTTTGCAAAATTTTCCAGGTTTCCTTGTTTGCTGTAAAGCCATAATTAATACAAGTTTTATTCATTTGTTTCTTTCTTTAATGGGCTGATTTTTTTAAAGAAATGATTTCTATCAACAGGTAGAGTCTCAAAGTAGCGTGGTTGATAGTAGAATAGATCTACTAGGCAAGTAAGGACAGACATAATGGCTTAGGGGAATGAATTGTAGACCTGCTTGGTGCTAGAGAAATATTAATATTTAAGAAATTTACTATTCTGTGTTGAGAGTTGCTGTTTTTTTTTAAAAAATAGAAGATAAAGGATTTTTGGATATGCCTGGCTAGACAACAGTACCCGTGAAAGGGATCTAGGAGTCTTGGTAGATCACAAGCTGACCATGAGTCAGCAGTGTGATGTGGCTGCCAAGAAAGCCAATGCGATTCTTGGTTGCATCAGTAGGAGTATAGTGTCTAGATCAAGGGAAGTGATAGTACCACTCTATTCTCCTTTGGTCGGACCTCACCTGGAGTATTGTGTCCAGTTCTGGGCACCTCAATTCAAAAAGGATGTTGACAACCTGGAGCATGTCCAGAGGAGGGCAAGTAAAATGGTTTGTTTGTTTGTTTGTTTATGTATTTATTTATTTATTTGTTATTCGATTTATACCCCGCCCCTCTAGACAGAGTCTACTCGGTTAAAGGTCTGGAAGCAAATGTCCTACAAGGAGTGGCTTAGGGAGTTGGGAATGTTTAGCCTTACAAAAAGAAGGTTGAGAGGGGACATGATAGCCATGTTTAAATATTTGAAAAGATGTCATGTTGAAGAGGGGACAGGTTTGTTTTCCAGGGCTCCAGAGACTAGGACGCAGAGCAATGGTTTCAAACTATGGGAAAAGAGATTCCATCTGAACATTAGGAAGAACTTCCTGATGGTCAGCACTGTCTGGCAGTGGAATAGACTGCCTTGAAGGGTGGTGGAGTCTCCTCCTTAGGAGGTTTTAAGCAGAGGCTGGATGGCCGTCTGCTAGGAGTACTTTGATGGATGTTCCTGCATGGCGAGGGGTTAGACTGAATGGCTTCAGTGGTCTCTTCCAACTCTGTGACTCTTTGCCTGTAAGAGAGTGTCTATCCCTTAAATGAGAAAGGACAGAGAAAAAGAATTAAGGTACTGTGGTCAATGAAATATGAGTGGATAATGGTTTTGGCTCTTTTTCTGTTTACAATGCATCATAACATTGAAAGTTAGGAGGTGGTTGCTGGTAGTAGCTGGTAGGCCGTATTGAAATAGCAGGGACACTGATGATTTCTTTCTTTTGAAAATGTTTTTTAAATTTAACAATAATTGTTTCTAACCCAGAAGTCAATGATTCTTAATACCAAGCCTCAAATGTGCTTCCTCGTTTGTTCTTTTCCCTTTTTTTCTATTGCACTTAGAAGTTATAGCTTCAAATAATGGAATACAGTGGTGCCTCGCTTAACGATGTTAATTGGTTCCATAAAAAAA